CATAGAAACCTGTGCCCCACGCTGTACCCTCTGAAGAATTCTACTGCTCGCCTTTCCCCTGTGCGCTCCGCCGAATCTCTGCCCCCATGACTGCCAGCAATTGATTTCACAGGTGGCCGGCCAGTTCCCTTTGCGAGAGGTTGCAGCTGAGAAGGATATTATCTGAGTAGCCATTCTCTCACTTTCTGATCTTCCTCAAATTGAAAAAATGCCTTGGCTCTTTCTCTTCAGACCCTTAACCAGTAGCCACCTTCTCCCTTATCCCTGAGAGCCCAAATCCTGAGAATGTGAGCTCCAAAACAGCCTTTCCCAACTAACACTCATTCTCAGGCCACCCAAAGACCGCCTTCCTCAACAGCCTCTTCCATGTCTGCATTCATTCTACCCCTGAGGGAGGCAGCAGAAACTGAGGGCATAGTCCGAGTCCACGTCCCATTCTTTCCTTCCAGCTCCTAGCCACCCACTTCATTTCGCAGTTGGCCCCAGATATTTGGGGAAAAAAGTTAAAAAAGGCTGAGAATGGCCCTCAGATCCTGGTCCAAGATCCAGTGAACATGGCCTTTAAAGTTTTTAATGCCTGTGAGGAGCAGGCAGAGTTATATTGAGAGGCCCGCCTTCGACAGAAGGTTGACCTGCAAACTCAAGTCCTGGTTGTGGCTCTGCGGCCGACAGCAGCTGCCCATGGCCCCAAGGGGGCTGTGCTTGGTGGGGGTGCAAGGACAAACGCCACCCAGAGAATGCTTCAAATGTGGAAATGAAGGCCACTGGGGCAAAGCAGTGCCCCCAGCCCTGGGCTCCAACCAAGCCCTGCCCGGTGTGCGGTCAAAGCGGTCACTGGAAAAGTGACTGCCCCTGGAAAAGTGGTGGGCCCTCTGCGCCCCTGCATGGAGGGGCTGCCCTTCCAGGTCATGACCCACTCCTGGCCATGCTGGGACTGGACGAAGACTGAAGGAGCCTGGACTTGACGACCCCCATCACCCTCGCCAAGCCCAGGGTCACGCTGAAGGTGGTGGGTATGTGGGTCTCCTTCCTGGTCGACACGGGGGCTACCTTCTCTGTCCTGCCCTCCTTTTCAGGGCCCCTTTTTCCTTCTACGATCTTGGTCATGGGTATTGACGGCAAATTCATCTGCCTGCTGACCACCAGACCCCTTCCCTGTCTCCTTGATGATAGCCCTATAACCCACTTCTTCTTAGTCATGCCTTCGTGCCCCGTACCCCTTTTAGGACGAGATATTCTCACCAAACTAGAGGCCACTCTGCAGCTCACTCGGAGCCCTTCAGCCTCCTTGCTCCTTTTGCTCCTGGCCCCCTCCATGGGGACGCCAATCCCCCACTGCCAGGCGTCCCCTTATGGGGCCCAGCTGTCCCAGACCACAGTCACCTACCTCAGTTTCGCTCTCTCACCCCACAGGGCTGCGCCATTCCTTGGACTGTAGATGCCTTATCTCCTTATCACCTCTGTGACTGACCCCTCCTCTGAACAAGAAATGTTCTCCTTCCTCAGGCTCACTAGGTACTCTCACCTCCGGGTTCACAACTGTAGTCTTCTTGCAAAGCTCTTCTATGAGGTGACATGGCAAAGGGACCCCCTCACTGAGCCTAGTAGATCCCACGGCCAACTTTAATGGGCATTAAAGGGCATCCCCTTTAATTTCCTTAAAACTGCTCTGACCTCGGTGCCTTCTCACCCCCCCCCCACCCCACCCTTCCAAAAGGAAACTTTCCTGACTGCACAGGTTTACTCAATAGTCCAGCTATTATCAGAAACTGAGATCATTATCTCTAGGGGAAAAAAATCAGCAGCTTTAAAATCCAAGTGGCTAGAGGCTTGGGAACAGGGGAGCCTGCTCCCTCCCCCCCCACCACCTTTTCTCCAGCCTCATATCCAGGTCCCTGGATTCCACTGCTCCTTTCCTTCCCTTTTTCTTTTCCCTTGGATAACAGCACATTCTAACATTCCCTCCCACTTTCACTGCAATACCTACCTCTCTCAGGCTCACCAAATGCCTCCCACCATCCCTGAAGAGGACTCAGCAACACCATCCAGAACCTGATGACCCATCATTCCTCACAGGCTCTTACCTGGCAAGGGATCCTCCAATTTTTACTCTGGAAGAAGCTCAGGTTTTTAATATTTTAAGTGAAACGGACATGGAATGATAAGGGAGTCATCAATTCTACTGTCTGGGATGGGAAATCCTCTAGTGTCACTCTCTATTTATGAACCCTGGAGCTACTCCTTTGCCCACCCTCATCAACACAACTTTCCATCTACTCTCTAACATCATTCCCTCATTCTCTACATCCTGCTGGATTTGTCTGTCACTGGCTCGAACCCTCATCATAGCCACTCAATTCCAACCTATTGGACCATCTAACTAAACTCTCTTTCTAGAAATGCGCAGCTCCTGGCCGAACCTCCTGCTCATGGCCCTGACCAGAATCCGGGCTACACCAAGGAGCCCCACCTTCTTAAGCCCTTTTGAACTCCGATATGGGAGACCCTTCTTGCTCAACCACCGTCTCCTACTGATCCTCCTCCCCTGGGTACGTATCTCCCATGTCTGTCCTTACTCAGGCAGCTGCTCCGAGGACACACAGACAGGTTTCTGCCCAAGCCAGAGCCGACCGACCAGGGCTCGTGAGGACCAGCCATTTACCCTGGGGACTCGGTCCTCCTTAAGAATCTACATCCAAAAAAAAGCAACCATGTTTGTTACATTTGTTGCTTGGTGCTAAAAAAAAAAAAAAAAAAAAAAAAAAAAAAGAATCTACATCCAAAAACTTTGGAGCCTAGGCGGACAAGACCTCACACTGTAATCCTCACAACACCCACTGTGGCCAAGCTGCTTGGCGACCCGTCATGGCACCACCTCTCCAGACTCAAGAGGACCCCGGAGCAGCATGACTTCTATGAATGTGAGGTGTTGGGCCCCACTAAGGTCGCCTTAGTCGCCCTCCCCCTCCTCCTTCTCCTCCTGGCCCTGAGTAACCTACACCCACCCTCACCCACTTATGTGTGGAGGTTCAAGGTCCATGATGCCTCCCGAAACTCCAGAGCCCACCCTACCCCCACAGATATGCTACCAGACCAGTAATCTGGTAACTGGGGGATGAGTCACTTGGAACTGTACCCAAAACCACACTGCAGCCAGTCTCACCAAGGCCAGCCCGGGTACCTTCTTTTGGTGCAATGGCACCTTAAGCAACTGCATAAACTCCTCTGACCCCAGGCCTTGCTTCATAGTCACAGTAGTTCCCCAACTAACCTTGTATGGAGAGTTGGAGGTCGCCTGGCTGCTCCCTTCATCCCGCCCCCAGGCCTGCCATGTTAGGGGTGAGTATCACTGCCTCAGTAGGCCTCGCCAGGGGGGGCCCTCAGGAACAGTCTGGTCTCTGCTCAGGATTTCAATGACAAGCTCCAGTTAGCTCTGGAGTCTAATACCGCCTCTTTAGCCTCCCTAAAGCGGCAGGTAACATCAGTAGCCCAGGTAGCCCTACAGAACCAGTGTGCGCCTCAGACCTTCTGACTGCAGAAAAAGGAGGAACCTGCATATTCCTTCAGGAGGAATGCTGCTACTAAATCAATGAGTCCGGAGTAGTGGAGCAAAATGTGCAGAAGAACTACATGCGAGACACTCCGGGACAACTCTCTTTTCGGCTGGTTCCAAAGCCCCTTAGCTACCTGGGTCCTACCCATGATAGGGCCCCTGATTCTCATCTGTGTTTTTTTTCTCCTAGCCCCCTGCCTCCTCAAGTTCATCTGCTCCCGGATCATGGAGATGTCATGGGTGACTGTAAATCAGCTCCTGCTCCATCCCTACACTCGGCTACCCTTCGACCTGCCTCTGCCTGACCCTGGCCTTTAAATCGCCCACCCCCTCATCGTCCCTGGTCAGCTGGAAGTAGTCAGAACAAACCGGCGCCCCCATCACCAAAAGGCTGGGATGTTAGGTCAACATGCCGACTCCCACGGCGGGAACTTCCTCAGCTGAATACCGTGACGACCCCCACAGCGGGAACTTCCTCAGCTCATGCCCCCCGCCCCTCATTAAACACCTGTATAAAAAGGAGCCCCCCCTTCCCTGTTGGCACAAATTCACTGGCCCTGCCTTTGGGGCTCATGGATTTAGCCCGGGGAAGCAGATTAAACCTTTCCTTTTCTTTCTTCTCTGGCTGACTCAACTCTCTTTGTTTTCCTGCGCCACTAACTTTACAGAACTAAAACAAAGGCAGTGTTGGCTTGTTAGACCTCAGCTAGGAACATAAGTGTTGGGCAACTCAACATTTTTCTAAATTTTGGACAGGCAAATTCACAAATATAAAATCTGCAAATAATGACATCACATGGCCTTATTGAGAAGAAAAGTGGATGGTGAATTGGGAGGACTATTTTAGACCCAATGGACTTGGAAGGATTCTTGGAGGTGGGGACTTTGAGCAGGAACTTCAATGAAGTTAAGGAGTTGTTACCTTTGTGACTGGGATGAAGAGAACAAAAGTCCTGAGGAATGAAAGTACTTAGCATGAATGAGGACAAGGAAGAGGCCAGTGTGGTTAAGCAGAGTGAGCAAGGGAAGAGTTAGAAAATGAGGTTAAAGAGGTTGATGGAAGCCAGATCTATGGCTCTGTGGGCCATATTGAGGCCCCTCTCTGCACATGAGAATAATGGGAAGCCACTGGTGGTTTCAGGCAAGGGAGTAACATGATCTAGTCTGAGTTTTAAAAGGATCACTGAAGTGTGAAACATGACTACAATTGGTCAGAGTAGATGCATTCTAGTCTCCTTAGAGTTGGGCACCCCCCAACCCCCCAGAGGGATTGATAACTGTGGAGGTGTGAGAAAGTAGTTGGATTACTCTCATTTGCAATTCAAAGAGCCAACAGGATGTGTTGATGGGTTGGATGTGGGGTAGAAAGAGCAATCAAAGATCAATCTCAGGTTTTGGGGGGATTTGTTTTTGGAGGGGGGTATCCAAAATTTATTTTCCAACTGTCAACATCAGCAGGTTTTCTCCATAGATCATACATTCACAAGGTATAACAGTGAGAAAGCATCCAGTGTGTCCTCTAACTATATCTACTTCACAGTGTAAACAGATACTAGTATTGTGTTCACTTACAATTCCAGAAGGAAAGGCACAACTTGGGAAATACATATATATTTTTTATCCTAAAGTCAGGTGCAGTAACTCAGAGACCAACTTTGATATGGCTTTTGTTTTTTTAAATCCTCACTTGATATTTTTCCATTGATGTTTAGAGAGAGGGAAAGACAGAAAAATGTCAATGTGAGAAAAGCACATCCATTGGTTGCCTCCTGCACGAGCTCTGACCAGGACCGGGGCTAGGGAGGAGCCTGCAACCGCAGTATGTGCGAGAGGTCTGTGCCCTGGATCGGGATCAAACCAGGGACCCTTGGGTTCGCAGGCCGACACTCTATCCACTGAGCCAAACTGGTTAGGGCTTTATATAAGTTTTGATCTACATTTACACACTGATGGGAAAAGACTCCTCCACCCAGAAATTAGGGTCTTTCCTTCTTCCTCCTTAAACCATTAGGGCAAAGTTTCAGCATTTGCTTATTACATACACTTCTTTCAAAAATAAAAATAAAAATTACTAGTCTGTATTTGTTTTGTATGTGTGGGGGTTTTTGTTTTGTTTTGTTTTGTTTTACAAAGCAGCATAGCAACATCGTGATTGTAGGATGAGTCTAAGTTGTGTTCACAATTGTAAACATTTGCACATAAGTAAAAAAACAAACAGGAGGAAATGGGTTCTTAAAACAACAACAACAAAAGGTCCAGTTCCAGTGGAGCCATTGGAGAGAGTGGCCCCCAGGAAAACTGGGAGAGTAGGAATGCCTCTGCTCTGGATCATGGAGATCTGGTTGGTCTTCATGGCCAGATCACACAGTTGAGCATGATGGTGTACTGGTTCCACACAACACAGTTCACGTTCACTGAAGGGGCCATGATTTCCTTGGGAAACATCTCTGGGACCCTCTTTGTGCCTGTTCCCAGAAGAGTCATGGTGTTCTCAATGACCAGCTTCCTTCTGCTGTTTTTGGTGCCATGTGTCATATAGTGGACCTTCAAGTTGCCTTTGGTGGTGAAAGTTTGCCCACATATGTTACACACAAAAGATTTCTCCCCACTGTGAGTCAGCTCATGCATCTGGAGGGCACTGGCCAATGAGAAGTTCTTCCCACACCATGTGCAGGCATGCTTTTTGCCCTGGCTATGTGACTGGACCACTAGCAAAGATGGCATGCCTGGAGACATGGTCGCAGGTCCAAATGCACCAGGAACTTTGACTTTGACATAGGTTGTCTGGGCTCAGACAGATGTTGACAGGAGACTGCTCTGGCCTTCCACCTCAGTGTGGCTATTGTCCACGCTGTCTGCTTGCCACCAGCATCAGGAGACTAGGACTTGATGCTTTCTGCTTGGCCATTGGCCCGGGAGAGGGCTGAAAGGATGTGTTCTCCAGGATGATTGGACTTTGGCCCTGATACTCCTGATTTCCCATCACTGAGGAGAAAGAGCCATCGCTCTCCACTGAATCATTTTCTCTGCTGCTGCAGGACCACTGGAGCAGGACCCACCTTCCCCAAGGCATCTGGGAGGGAGGGGGGCATTATGGTGAACCCTGGAGTGTGTGATGTGGAGTGGATGCTGGGAAGAGGCATGGGGGCCTTCCAGGAGTTGCTGGGAGCAACCTGGGAGGCAACTTTGTCTACATTGATGCTTTCAATAGTGTCATCGTGACAGATGGCACTGGTGCTGCCATTCTCACTGACCGTCATCAACTCAGGATCCATAAAGTCACAGGGACTCTCCAGTGGGGTGTGTTGGGAATCTGACCATCATGTGCATCTGAATATGTTGCTGCAACATGACTGCATTGGTAAACTTCTGGCAGATGGGGCATGAATACTGGTCTTCATGGAGGTGTTGGTTCGGTGTGTCTTCAGGTTGCCTTTGGTTGAGAAGGCTTGATCACAGATCTTACAGCAGAATCGCCTCTCCTCAGTGTGGGGTGTGGTAATGCATTTTGAGGGAGCTTTAGCCGCTTAAGACTCAGTGGCAAATGATACATTTGTTGGGGTTGGGGTTGGTGGTGGCCTTGCCAATGTTCTCCACCAGCTGCTGCAACTTGAGGGTTTCTGACCCTAGCTCGGGTGCCCCTTTCCCTTAGAAACTACCAACCCTTGGGAATTATGGTTTGGCCCACCCTGGAGAGTAGGGGTCCATCCTCACTTTCTGGAGAAGGCCCAGGCTACAGGTCGGTGACCAGTGGGACACCCATTAGGTCCTTGGGGGTAGTCCCCAAAGAGAGAATCTGAGAAAGACCTGCACTGGGTGTCCCTGTGACCAGGACAGGTTTGCTGTCTAGAGAGAGACTCAATTCATCTATGAGGAGAGGTACAGAGAGTGCATAGCTAACACTATTGCCTGCCATCATTTTTTCGTGGAACTTGGCAAACAGTTGGGGTGTGTCTTCCCCTGGGGTGTCGATGAAAGTGTACCTTGAGGTTGCCCTTAGTGGTGAACCAGTGGCCACAGACAGAGCACATGAAGGGTCTCTCTCCAGAATGGGAACGGAGGTGGATTTGCAAGGAGTTATCAGTCCCCAAAACCTTGCTACTAAAATTTTGCCTGTAAGAGGGTGGCCTCATCTTTGGTTTTGACATCCACTGGAGACACGTTGGGCGGCTTCCCTTTCCCTTTCTCGGATGGGTCTAACACCACAGTGGAGAAAGGGCTCTAGAAGAGCACAGAGCTTGGGGCTGGGGGTATCAAAGCACCAGGGATGTGGTTTGGGAGCACCCTCGGCCCATCCGGCCTCAGGGCGAAGGACAGCAGCCCTGAGGACACAGAGCTGGTGGTGGATGAGATGTTTGTGTGAGGTAGCTTGGCTTGTTTCAAGGTGTCCAGAGACAGACCTTGGCTTCCAGCTTTCTGGCTGAGCAAAACCAAGGCCGCAGAAACCTGCTGGGACACGTGGCTGCCTAAGGTCTTCAGGGTGTCAGCTCTGGCTAGGCCTGCATGTTCGCCTGGACGTGGATCTGCTCAGTGAGCTGGATCTTCTATAGCTGCTGCTGCTGAAGACACAGGATCTGTTCCAGGCCCCATAGGATGCTGTGGCATCGGGCAAGGGGCAGGCAGCACGTCTGCGCTCACTGATTCACCGCCACTTTGGTGCCTGGTAGTGCTTGAAGAGTGACGTTAGTGTTGGCCACTTTGCTTTTGGGTAAATAGCTTAGGTGTGGGTGGCAGAGCAGTCTCCATCTTTAAGTACAGGACAGACTCTGTCCCTGGCTTCTTCATGTCCCTGAGA